CTCATTTAACGACCATGGTGACTCATTTAATGACCATCGGAAAATGGTTGCAGAATAGAGTTAGGTCAGGAGGTAACTCACTTAATGACTCCAGTGACTATAATATTCTAGGACCATGATGTTGAACCTATGGCACGCATGCCCAAAGTGGCACGCGAAGCCATGTTGCCTGGCATGCGTGGCCTTGCCTGTTTGTCTTCCGGGTTTCTGGTGTGCATATGCGCGTGATGATCAGCTGTTCTTTACACATGCGGGAGTGCCGAAAAGCGGCCTGCACAGGTTGTCAGGTGCGCATGCATGCCAGAACCCGGAAGTTTGGCTTTTCCGGAGCGCGATCCCTGTCATGCCCCTGGTGGAGACTGACTGCGAGGGAGGGGAGGAACAGCCAACAGGGAGTGGAAGTGGGGCTCCGGAGGTTGTGGAGGAGGCTGGGGAAGGGCAGAGGCCGGCTGAGCAATCAGAGGAGGATCCAGGCCCATCCCCTCTCCATCCTAGGGCACGCAGGGAGGGGAGGATCAGGGAAAAGCGTGGTCTACTCAGGAGGAAAGGGCCATGATCCTCCTCATGGTTTTCAGCTGTGAGCTCTGTATATCAGAGTTTGGAACTGCGTGTTCACAGACGCTGGAGTCAAATGAGTGCTTTTCTTGGATGAGGTTTCTCTTTGTTGGCGTTCTTCCCATGGACTCTCCCTGGTTATCTTCCTGGAATGTGTGATTAATTATCTTGGTTTGCCTTGGAACTCTCGTCAATGCCGTTTGTTTTTGGTTTCCTTTTACTTCATTATCTACTTTTTGAATTTAAACTGTGACTAATAAAACAGCGAAGCTAAGTTGAAGGCATTACAAGACCTTGGTTCATGTTTTAATTTTTGTGTTACTTTTGAGACACTACGGGTCATCGCAATCCCTTTGCATGTGTGGCAGTGCCGAAAACCACCCTACGCATGCGCGCCAGCCTATAATCGGGTGCATACGCATGCTAGAACCCGGACGTTCGGCTTTTCTGGAGTGCGGCCCTGAAGAGCGCACGTGCGCGCTACGTTTCGGCGCACCAAGTGCCGAAAAGGTTCGCCATCACTGTTCTAGGCTAATTGTGATTGCAATTCGAGGACTACTTGTACAGTGAAAAACTTACAGATTTGCATCCTTTAAAAATTACACCGTAAATTTCATTTTTCCCTCCTTGCAGGAAGCCAGATCCAAATATTCCAGGGCATGCATACCTTAGCCAGGGCTTTACTTTTCAGCTTCCATTCACTCGCAAGGAAAAAGCTCTCTTCTAACTCAGAAAGTTCAGCTAACTCCTCACCCCGGCGTTCTTGATCCTGAACGGGACATAGGAAAGAGATATCTTATTTATTTTAAACGCACCTAGTCCATTGCAATTTGACTCCTTGTCCTTGAAGATGACTCGGAAACGGCAACTGTTCAAAAAATGCAGCCTGGTGAGTATTTATGAACCCTTCTTGCTTTCTCCAAGATAAATCCACAGGTATAGTATCAGAGGTGGTATTCAGCAGGTTCTGACCAGTTCTGGAGAACCAGTAGTGGAAATTTTGAGTAGTTCGGAGAACCGGCAAATATCAACTCTGACTGGCCCCGCCCCCATCTATTGTCCGCCTCCTGAGCCCCAGCTGATTGGCTGGGTCTTCTTTGGTTGCCCTGCACAGGAGAACGGAGCTGGAAAGCAGGTTAGTGGGGTGGGAAGGAATGGGGATTTTGCAGTAACCTTCCCCTGCCACACCCACCAAGTCACCGCCGACCAAGCTACGCCCACCAAGCCACGCCCACAGAACAGGTAGTAAAATTTTTTGAATCCCACCACTGTATAGAATAGGTGGTACCTGGCTCAATAGTAATAACTGCGGAGAAGGATCTTGGAGTCCTAATGGACAATCATATAAATATGAGCCAGTAGTGTGCTGCAGCTGTCAAAAAAGCCAACACACTTTTAGGCTGCATTAATGGAGGGCTAGAATCAAGATTACATGAAGTGTTAATGCCACTTTAAAATGCCTTGCATCACTGCATCCAGTTTTGGTCACTATATTACAGAAAAGATGTTGACAATCTAGAAAGAGTGCAGAAAAGAGCAATAAAGATGATTAGGGGCCTGGAAGCTAAAACATATGAAGAACAGTTGCAGGAATTGAATATATCTAGTCTAATGAAAAGAAGGACCAGGAAATAGATTTTATGAGTGGCTTAAAACAAGGGATAGAAATTAGAGGAAGAAAAACGATGAATGTTCTTATTAAAAACAGGGAAGATATATAACTATAATTGCTATAAATATTAAAAATATGAATGAGTTAAATACAAAGAATGAGAATTGTATTGTATGGGAATGTAGTATTATTAGAGCTGTTAATTTAGGTGTTATTACATTATTAGTATTATTATTAGTAAATGGGACAATATTTTTTACAGAATTAGCTATGTTTCTTTTTTGTGTGTGTAAATAATGTATACGAAGAAAACACTGTATTCAAAAAATGTTTATGAATAAAATCCAAAAAAAGAAAAAAGGAAGAAAAGAAGGACCAGGGGTGACAGGATAGCAATGTTCAAATATTTGAGGGGCTGCCACAAAGAAGAGGGAGTCAACCTATTTTTCCAAAGCACCTGTGGGAAACAAAAATATAGGCTATTTATCTATCAGATTCAACAAGGCCTTTGAATGATAGCAGGCTGCAGAATAAAGAGACATAAACCGAAGTTTGAGATAGGATGATTTCAAAATGTACCAGAACTATTTGTAATCCCGCTGAGCCATTGCTAATTGTGAACATGATTTTTCAAAGAACGTAGCTTTATAAATATATTTGGACATAGAGGGACGAAACCACCATGAGAAATAAGAAACTGAAAGTAGCTGATGGATAGAGGTTTGAGATGTATACGGGTGTATGTGGAGACTGTCTGTCAATAAGGAGGAACAAGGAAGTTGTGAAATGCGTGCAGAAAAATATAAAAATAATGTTTTGGGATGTATTCGATGCCACTGCCCTAGTTACTCCTTGCTGGTCTCAGCTATGTCTGTGGACCTCATTGCAATGGGTTATTGATATAAGTTGTGTTATGATGGCTGTTCATGTTCCAAATTGATCCTGGATTGTGCAGAGATGGATAGACTCACAATGAAATTAAATGATAAAGAAGACTCAGAATATTATTTAATTTGGAACATTTGGTATCAATGGGTAGACAATAAAACATGAAAAATATAGATTAAAAGAGGAAATAAAATTGGCATATTGGTATATAGGTAGGACCAAATTGAAACTGTTGAAATCAAGAAATTGCCAGAAAATGGAGATCTATGTAAATATTCATATTTAATTTATAATATATATGTAATTATACTTTTATTGTATACTGAAAAATATATAACATCTTTTTTATGACTATGGAATAGAGAGCACAGTAATAATTATGTAGATTTATTTCTGATTTTTCTCTTTTTAGATATATATACGTACTTAGTGTTAATATGGCATTTTTTCTCTTCTGGACCAATGACCCATATACATGAATCACTTTTTACCAATAATATCAAGGCACTGTGAATTAGTATTACCAATACTATGAATAACTGTCAAGTATTAATTGTATGTATTGTATTTATTGTACTGTCAAAAATGATGCTGAAAGATATTGACACATCTTCTATTATAGAAATTTTTGTAATTTTTTAAATATTTTGAATTTTTGTAAACTTTTTAATATTTTGAACTTCAATAAAGTATTTTTAAAATTGAAAAAAAAAGGAGAGAAGCAACTTAGAACTAAGGAGAAAGTTCCAAACAGTGGAAACAATTAAGTAGTAGAACAGCTTGCCTTCAGAAGTTATGGATGCTTCATCACTGGAGGTTTTAAAGAAGAGATTGGACTACCATTTATTTGAAATAGTGTAAGATTTCCTGCCTGAGCAGGGGGTTGGACTAGAAGACCTCCAAGGTCCCTTCCAACTCTGTTATTTTGTTACCCATGAAAGGTACATTGGCTAACAACTGGCTTTGAGGTTCATTTCAAGATATTGGTTGTTAACTCTTTGTGATTCAGATCCAGGTTCGATTAATAAGACATAGTAAAAAAAAATTCCCCACATTAATCAATTTCTAGCACAATTGGACTCCTGATTTCCACTTCGAAATTATCTCTTAAGCTATTCGGTAAACTACACTTTGATTAAAATGGGTGATTTCAAGACCAGCCAGGATCTTGAAACCATATTTTGATCTCACACTTGTCCTAACAAGCTATACTTCTCTTCCAGTGGTGGGATTCAAATTTTTTTACTACCGGTTCTGTGGGCGTGGGCGTGGTGGGCGTGGTGTGGCTTGGTGGGTGTGGTGGGGCTTGGTAGGCATGGTGCGGCTTGGTGGGCGTGATGCGGCTTGGTGGGCGTGGTGCGGCTTGGTGGGCGTGCTGTGGCGTGGCTTGGCGGGAATGGCATGGCTTGGTGGGCGTGGCAAGGGACGGATACTGTAAAATCTCCATTCCCTCCCCACTCCTGGAGAAAGGTTACTGCAAAATCCCCATTCCCTCCCCACCCCACTAACCTGCTTTCCAGCTCCATTTTCCTGTGCAGGGCAACAACAGAAGACCCAGCCAATCAGTTGGGACTCAACGGGAGGCAGAGAATAGATGGGGTTGGCGGGGTCAGTCAGAGGTGGGATTTGCCGGTTCTCGGAACTACTCAAAATTTCCGCTACCGGTTCTACAAAACCGGTGAGAACCGGCTGAATACCCACCTCTGCTTCTCTTCATTTGGGGGTTACATAACTCCCCAACTGCTTCTGCAGGGAGGCTCAGTACGGTAAGGTCAGTGTTACAATCCAAATCCCAATTCTTGTAAAAAAAAAAAAGGGGTGTGTGTATGGGGGAAATTGGGGGGTATCATGATAAGATCCACTGTCTTTCAGGTGGCAAACTCTGCCATGAAGTGATGAAGTCACAAAAGCTGAAGGAGGTTAGAAAAAGATGTTAGATGCTTCTCCTCTGGAGTTTTCTAAACTGGCATGATGTCCGTTCTGTTTGGTTCTTCGTGTTTTTAACTGGATTTGGACTAGGACTTTGGAATGCATTTTCTTGTTTTATTGACCATAAGCCGCCTGAGGGTGGTACATTAATGCCTGCCCTAGATTTGGGGGGAGGGGATGGGGGGGTTTAATTTTCCCAAGGGGCCAGATGAGACTGTTGTGGAGGGCTTGCAAACGTGGGTGGCCATGCAAATAAAGTAAATGGTTAAAAGAAAAGAAAAAAGAAAAACAGCTTCAAAATAAAAGCAATCCAGATGAGCCAGACAACCAAAGGGCCGGATGTAGCCCAGGGGCCGAAAAAATACCCAGGTTTCCCCTAGATAATAATAATATCCACAGCAAGGTCTGAGGGAGCTCACTTTGGCTTCAAGGCGCTCCGTCTTCTCTCTTTCAATACGCTCCCTTTCAGCCTTCACAGCTTGTTCCTGCTCAGCACGTAAGCGGGCTTGCTCTGAGGAACAAAATGAAAGACACGATGAACCAGGTTTTATTTTATTTTATTATTTTTATTATTTCTATCCTATTCTATTTTTTAGATTATTTTATGTTTTTTTCTTCCTATTATTCTATTGTATATTCTATTCTATTTTTTTGTTATTTTATTTTTCCCTATTATTCTCTTCTCTTCTATATTTTATTCTATTTTTTGTTTATTTTATTTTATGTTATTTTATTTTTTCCTATTGTTTTATTCTATTCTTTTTTATTTATTTTATGTTATTTTTTTCTTCCTATTATTCTATTCTATTCTATTTTTTATTTATTTTATTTTATTTTTTCCTATTTTTATTCTATTCTATTCTTTATTTTATTCTGTTATTTTTTTTCTTCCTATTCTTCTATTTTATTCTATTCTTTATTTTATTTTATGTTATTTTAGTTTTCCTATTATTCTATTCTATTCTATTCTATTCTATTCTATTCTATTCTATTCTATTCTATTCTATTCTATTCTATATTCTATTCTATATTCTATTCTATTCTAATCATCCTGATTTCCTTGAACACAAATCCAGGTCGTCTTTGACTTACGAGCCCAAAATTTCCATCGCTAAGAAAGACAGTGGTTTATGTGAGCTTTGCCTCATTTTATGGCCTTTCTCGCCACAGTTGTTAAGTGAATCGCAGCAGTAGTTGAGTTAGCAACACGGTTGTTAAATGGATCAGGCTCCCCCATCAACTTTGCTCGTCAGTAAGTCGCACAAGGGAGTCAAACGACCCCTTGGACGCTGCAGTGGTCATAGGTATGAATCAGTTGCCAAGCCTCTGGATTTTGAACAGGTGACTGTGAAGATGTTGCAATGGTCATAAGTGTGAAAAAAAGTCACTTTTTTCAGTGACGTTGTAATCTCAAATGGTCACTAAACAAACTGTTGTAAATCAAGGACCACCTGTAACACAGAGGGTAGAAAATCCACCTACCTTCCTCAAATAGTCGCCGTTCTTCTTCTTCTCTTAGCATCCTCATCCGTTCAGCTTTACTAATCTTCTTAGTACCCGCAGACTGAACCCAGAAAAAACAACAGAAAGGAAATTTAAATTTAAAGACATTTCTAAAAAGGACAGAGCAGAAAGGGGACTTCGAATATTTCTTACTTATATTGGTAAAAATATATATCCACTTTTCAAATCAGGACATTGATGAGACAAAAATTTGTTTTGAAACTGTGGAATGGAGGATGAACTGATCTTTATTTTCCTACTAGCTCTCTACCTGTGTTTCGCTACAAAACTATGTGGTCGGGCTTAGTTTTTGGGGAGGAAATTAAGGGGGAAAATTCTGCCTCTGCCTACCAGCATCCATCCTTATTCATCTGGCTAGCATCCTGCCAGTGTGTGAGAAAGTTGAGGGCAGTTTGGAAACTGAAACAGTATTTGCTGTGTGAGCAAGAAGGAGACAGCAAGGAACCTTGGCAACTGACGTGGCTTAGCTCAACTGTTCTGTATTAAAGCTGGTTGCTGCTGTGAAACTAAATCTGAAACTGAAACTCCTCTGCTTGTGTTTTGCATTTGGAACAGATTTTTTTTCAGGTGGGGAGGGGGAGTAGAACTCCTTAGCATCAGAGCATGTTAATTAAATATGAAATACTAATGCTCTGAGGGTCATTTCAAAAAATCCTTTCTTAGTGAGCACCTAGAAGCCAAGAGGAACATATGTGCAAAATTTCAAGTTTGTAGGCTTCACGTTTCTGGAGATTTTGTGATGATGCATGAGTGGTATTTCGCTTTTATGTAAGATTGGTACGATGTTGACATTGAAATGAGCAACTGAGAGATTACAGGGTGAATAAATCTACTCCCATCACATGAACACATCAGAGCTGCCATTTTAATTACCCACAATGCCCCACCATGTGGCAATGCCATGGAGCAGCTGGGGAACTAAAATGGTGGTATTGAATGCTAAGACTTTGTGAATCACTGATGCACAAGATCCTCCAAAGAGATCCATCAAGTTCAAATCTAGCATGGAGACATCCCTGCTCTTCTCTTGGACAGATTATTTGTCCCAGGGCAGGACACTTTCTGCCCTGGGCAATCTAGAACAGCAGTAGGCAATCCCATCTTCTCCAGATGTTCTGGAATTCAGCTCAAGCAACCTCAGACAGGTTGGTCAATGGCAAGAAATTGCCAGAGTTATCATCCAGCTTTAAGTATCGGAAGATAAACAGGAAACTCTTGATTTAACAAACCAATATTGGTGTGGAGAAGGGAACCTGTGAAAGCCAAATGGACCTGCAATCTGAATTTATATAACACACATAATATTTATGATTCTCTACATAATGTATATTAAATGTACGCAGCCTACACCACATTTGCATGAATTAAATGAAATGTTTAATTGAGCGATTTATGAAAATGCTATCAATTTATACAAACTACACAAACATTATCTGGACTGATGAAGGAGTCAGAATTAAGATGTTGTCCACTACATTGAAATCTGTTCAACAAGGTCCATGAAATCCACATTTGATTGTCTTACTTATGAAGACTGCTGCCTCACCAAAGAATGGTGAACGGTGAATAGCTCCGTGCATTTATCTATGTGTTGGGCATCATGCCAAGGAAGGTCACAATGTACTTTTGTCCAATCTTCCTCTTCCTAGCTGGAGGAGGCCACTGGGTGGTAACCAAAGGTAGGCAAGAGAACTTCTCCAAATGTTCCCCAACCCCATGTGTGAACCTGCAACTTCCCAAATCTTGAAGGACATCATGACAATGCTTTCTTGGGTCTATTGAGAGAACAGCAAAACATTGCCCTAAATATTCCCACCAGTATAATTATAGTGTGGGCACCCAATGGCCTTCTAGATGATGTTGGGCTCAGGTCCTATGATCCTCAGATAATGCATGCTTACTGGGGCTACTGGGAGTTGGGTCTTGAACCATCTGCTAGCTACAGGTTCTTCAAAGGTGCTTTTTCAAGAGGCAGCTGGACTTCTGTGTTTTTCTTTGAAGGCATGTCGCTTCTCATCCAAGAAGCTTCTTCAGCTCTGATTGCACCTGTGTTTAACATTCCCCACCATCCAGTCAGAATGGAAGAAGCTTCCTGGATAAGAAGTGACATGTCTTCAAAGAAAAATAAGAAAGCCCAGTTGCTTCTTGAAAAAGCACCTTTGACGAACCTGTAGCTAGTAGATGATTCAACCACCTTTGGGACAACCATGACCTGGATGACTGAGAATCTTCATTGGACATATAGGTTCTTGACTACCCTACTAGAGTTCCTCAAAAGTGTATTTTGGCCTTCCCCACAGAATTAATCATATGGTCAAGAGGAAAGAAGCAAAATTTGGTGAGGAAAAGACATATTAACCCTCAGACTACAGGGGTTGGGAAGATACTGGCAAGGCACAATGGCCACCAGTGGGAATGTTGTGGCCTCTCAGCTGATTCCAGCAGCCAAATCAGAGGAGCAGGAGGAAGCGTGACAGTCAGCATCAGCGTCAAGGCAACCTGAGAGCTCCAAGGGGAAGAGGGAATGGAGCTGGTAGATAGAGAGAGAGAAAGACAGAAGCGGAGCCTGGGCCGTCCGTCAGCCCTCAGATGGGGAGTCAACAGCTCCCAGGTCTGGAGGTGGCTGGTGAGGAAAAGGAAGAACAACTGGGTCCAGTGCCAGACGCGCAGATGCGCAGAAGTCAGAAGAGAGGAGAGCAGTGGAATTCTATGGGCCAGTCCTCGGGACAGAAGAACCACTGCTGCTAGTGAAGCCCTACTCTAGCTCTGGGGATAAAAGGCAGGGGGAGGAGATGAGTAGGTGTGTCAGACAACTATTCACCTCCCTGCCAGACAGACTTGTTAGCCTGCCGTGTGAGAGAGACTTTTTGGCACGCCTAATAAATAATCATTGATTCAACTACAGAGGGTTTGTCTTGTTTGGGAGCTATTCTTCCTCTGAAGTAAAAATCAAATCAATAGCATCTGAAGCAATACATAAATCAGATGCGATCACAGAGGTGTGCCAATTCCACAACCCTTGTGGGTACAGAAGGTGAAAATATAACCATAGAAATATTAAGGTGCTCCAGGTGTTGAACCACTATAACTTCCAACATTGCACCATTGGCTATGCTGGCTAAGGCGACTGAGAACCGTCGTTCAGCGGTATCTGGTGCTGGCAGGGGGTGTTAACAAGTTTAAGTTAGTTTGAGGAGGACACAAGAAGCTGTGAACTTCTTAATCATTCCTGCACTTACCTTAAATCCCATGTATATTTAAAAAAAAAATAACTATAATGCTGGCTGGGGAATTCTGGGAGCTGAAGTTCACACATTTTAAATTTGCTAAGGTCAGGAAACACCGCCCTCAGTGGATTGAAACGCACTGCATGAACAAACCTGCTTTTAAACCAAAGTGGACCATCATTTGAAGTTACAATCTAGTATCAACGTTAAATATACGAGCTATTTGGTACGTATGAATGCCTCTAAGATTAATTTAGCTGTCTACCTACATACCTTTTTCTTTTTGGGACCCTAAATGCAGAGAGGAGAAAAAAAAAGAATTGAGAAAATCAGAAAAACACAATAAAATTGTCAAGACAGGGCAGGGTGGTGGAAGTAGTTTGAATTCCATCTCAGCCTAAATATCTGTGTTTTCACAAACACAGGTGGGTCTCCCATGCTTAACAACAAACTGAACCCACAGAATGGAACACTGAAAGCCTCAAACTTCTTCTAATGCTTCCCAAAATGGCCTGTCTTGGATTGCAGCTGGTCCTCATTTAACAACCAGTAACTGTTCGAAATTACACAGCTTTACATGACTTGGTTCTGGAGCTCCAACCATCATACTCTCTCCTACAGTCATTTGACTGTGATTTTCAGCGGGTTTTTTGCCCGATTCTGGCATTTACTTCTAGTTTTTGGCCAAAACAAAAAAACACCAATTGAATAAAATGTGTTCATTTAATGACTGCCAAAAAAACAACAGTCGAGGGACTGTTTGAGATTCATTACAGGCTGGGAATGAAAACAATTCCCAGCGCTGCAATAAAAAGACTTGTTTTTAAAATAAGTGTGTGCGTAATTACGGTCTAGGAAGCCTTGGTCAGAACAGCCTAGCAACAGAAATTCAGGTCCCAATTATGGCTATAAACCGAGGACTCTTTGTATTATGAAGGCAGAACTCATTTGCAAGGAAAAAGAGCCCAGGTGGATTTTCCACAGGTGAAATGAACGTGGAAGAACAAGGGCCAGGGCATCCCTTTTATGCTTAGAAAAGCATAAAAAGGACTTGTGGAAATTTGTGCGAGCTTCATCACTGGAAGCTTTCAAGAAGAGACTGGACTGCCATCTGTCCAAAATGGTGAAGGGTCTGCTTGGATGGGAGGTTGGACTAGATGACCTACAAGGTCCCTTCCAACTGTTAATCTGTATCTGTATCACCTGTGGAATATCCATCTGCTCAGTAAAGTCACAGCAGGTTTAACAGGACCAAAGCATAAAGCTTTATTGAGGTTTGACCCAAAGGTGTCATTCTCACCTTCATTTTAGCATCTTCAAGTGGAAATAAAACATTTTTTAGGAAAAAAGGAGAAAAAAAAGAAAAAAAGGATATTTTTTTATCAAAAGACATGAAGGTTATAGCCTCAATGGGGACAGAGGTGCCAGATTCCCCCAACTGCAGTGAGTGGCTGCGTTCACACAACCCATTGACCCACTCGCGTGTTTCATCCTCTTTGCGAAGCGTTCGCAAACGAGATGCGGGAGTTGTGATTTGCATATGCATATCGATATGCAAATAAGGGCCCCTCAGGTTGGGGGGGGAAAGGGCGTCACTCACCATTTTTCAGCAGCACCCCCAACAACCAGGCTGAAAAGTTGTTGACGACCCCTCCCCTCCGTTTCTACGGCAACCAGTCCCCGCCCCTCCACGCGGCGCAACGAGAGTCCCCGCCCCTTGACGCTCCTGACAAGGGGGAATGAATTCACTCAAGAGGTTAGGAAGCTTTGTTTGTAAAACCATTTCCGGTTCCCAAGTGAACATTGCGGAGGTAGGAACCCCTCTAGCTACCCCACACATCTAATATACAGAAAGAAGATTGCGTGGCACTTCGGGAGGAAAAGCAGTAAGGATCGGTTGGGGTTTTTTTGGACACTCCGTGCAATGATGGAAGTTTTGCCAATGCGGACGTTGAATCGAATTCGGAAGTGTTACAGGGGTGACAGCTTTCATTTTGTTCTTCCTCTATGATTCCCATCCAGGAATTATTAATGAATTAATTACCATCGTTGGTATATAAGCCTAAGGTAAGTCTGCGCAGGCGCATTAAGATTTTGCTGGCAGAAAATTTGCTAGGGCGCCTCTCTGTAAAGATTTCGGTTGTTTGAAATTACTGTTTCGTCCGAATTTCGCAGACACTCTGAGGGTGCTTGCAATGCGTTCGTTGCATTCTTCAATTTTTAATTAGATCCTAATTTGATTAAGGCCAACCAACCTTAATTGTGATTAAAAAAGATTCTGCAGAACTTTTTAGCTGGAATGGTACAAACGTAGAAGTGGGGGGAAACAGGAAAATTATCCTTGCTTCTCTCGCTAAGTCTAGCTAACTCTTACTTGACAGCTTTAAGACTTGTGGACTTCAACTCCCAGAATTCCTCCTCCAGTCATGTTAGCTCAGGAATTCTGGGAGTTGAAGTCCACAAGTCTTAAACTTGCCAAGTTTGAAGATAAGTGTTAAAGACCAGGAGAAAAGTTGTTGCGTTTTGTGTGTGTGCAGAAGAGATGGGGAAAGTGTGGTTTTCCTAGAGAAATTGGCTTTCTCACGCGCGTTGGGATCCGAGAGAAAAATACAATGACGAATGTATTTTTTTTGTTTCATATTTTCATTCATATTGCAGAGGGATTGCGATTGTCACTTGAAGAAACGAGAACCACAACTTTGCAAAGTAGATCAAGTGGTCCTTTTCCTAGGACAGACTCGGATGGAGGAATTTAAGGCCAAATGCAGACATGCAATACATTTAACCAATATGCTCAATCTATACCAGGGGTCTTCAACCTGGGGAACTTTAAGACTTGTGGACTTCAACTCTCAGAATTCCTCAGCCAGCTTTGCCAACAACTAATTCCCAGAACACTGTCAAACTATTCACTAAGACTGTATTACTATTACTCTTGTCATCCTTCCTATTACTTATCTCCTCCCACTTATGACTATAACCATGTTGCTTGTATCTCTACGATTTATATTGTTTTATTTAGTTTCCTAGTATGATTTTGATTGCTTATTTAGTATCCTATGCCTATCACTAAGTATTGTATGTTATGATTCTTGATGAATGTATTTTTATGTACACTGCACCTTGTGTGTCCAATCACACTTGGCCAATAAAGAATTCTATTCTACTCTATTCTATATTCTATTCTATTCTATTCTATTCTATTCTATTCTATTCTATTCTATTCTATTCTATTCTACAGTATATTCTATTTATTCATTCAATTATACTAAACGGGACTCTTTCTGAGAGCAGAGTCATTCCTCTTCACTTTCCTATCTCTATCTGCCTCTGCTTGCGAATTTTAGGCAATGCCATTCAGGACATTTGAAGAGTCATCTGGCTCCGCCCCTCGAACTCTTGCGCAGGCGCAGTAGCCACCTGACGCCCCAGGATCTTGCAACAGCTGGTCAGGTTGGAGTTCTCGGACTGTGCAGGTAGTGAATTTTAACTCCAAATTTAGTGAAATTGCGAATTACATTCTCACCGGATTTGGGAGCCTCCCAAGACTCCGGGGAGTCGTCTTATTGGCGGGCAGCTTGCAGCTTGCAGCTGTAGCCTTCACAGCCCTGTTGATAGATTGGGAGTACTACAACTCCCATCATCCACAAGCCAACCTGGCTAGCCATGCTGGCTGCTGAATAGGAAATCTCTGATTAAAGCCCTAGAAAATTAGCTGGATTCAGTGGTGTATGTATGCAAGAGCCAGACAGGATGTGGAGCACTCCTTTTTCCTTACAACAACAATTCCCCAAGGTTGGTTGGGGAATCTTGGGAATGGGTCAAATTTCCCCCAGGGAGCTTCTGTGGTTGTAGAGGGACTCCAAGCTGGGTTTGACTGCTCTCAGTTCAGCCTCTTCACCTCTCGTGCACCCTGGTTAGGGCAGGTCGTAACAAACAACTTTTTCCTGTAACATTTTAGGACTTTTCAGACAATTATTTTTATTCCTTGGTTGCTTTTCTCTGCAAATTCCTGCACTCTTGCCTAAGAGGATCCTTCTTATGTGTGGATCTTGACTCCAGTCTTTTATTTCCATCACTGGAGGTTTCCAAGGAGAAACTGGACAGCCATTTGTCCAGATTAGCAATAGCACTTAGTCTTATATATTGCTTTGCAGTGCTTCACAGTCCCCTCTAAGTGGTTTATAGAGTCAGCCTGTTGCCCCCAACAATCTGGGTCCTCATTTTACCCACCTCAGAAGGATGGAAGGCTGAGTCAATCTTGAGCCTGGTGAGATTCTCTTAACAACTGAGGTAAGAAAGGTCATAAAATGGGACCAAATTTACTGAACACCTATCCTGCTTAGTGATGGAAATTTGGGGCTTAAGGGTTGGTCTTAAGTCGAGGACTATCTGTAATAAAAAAAAGCTGTTCAGATTTCATCATGCACCTCATTTTAGAATAAAATAGAATTCTTTATTGGGCAGGTGTGATTGGAGACACAAGGAATTTGTCTTTGGTGCATATGCTCTCAATATACATAAAGGAAAAATAAAATACCTTCATCAAGAATCATAAGATACAACACTTAGTGATAGTCATAGGTTATTAATAAGCAATCAAATCATACTAGGAAACAAATAAAACAATATCAATTGTAAAGATACAAGCAACACGGTTATATCCATTAGTGGGAAGAGATAAGTTAACTGATTTAAACTGATTGTTCTTCAGGTAAATATGCCAGTCCTCATGAATAAAACGGATATATGTCTCAACTGACAACATGGCCAACCCTCTCAAATACGAAGTACTGAATCTGTATAAAAACGTAAGTTCTGAGGAATAATTCCGGCTTCTCCCAGTGTGGGACCTCCGAAAATGTTGGACTTCTATTCCCCAGCCAGGTGGAGTTTATGTCCAGCCATTTGAAGGACACCTGGCTAGGACAGGCAGACTAAACTGGACCTAAATAAGAATTTCTATGAATTGTTGAATGTGTAAAGTTAACTGTGAGAGGGATCTCGGAGTCCTAGCGGACAACTATTTAAATATGAGCCAGCCGTGCGCTGCAGCTGCCAAAAAAGCCAACACAGTTCCAGGCTGCATAAACAGAGGGAGAGAATCAAGATCACGGGAAGTGTTAATACCACTTTATAAGGCCTTGGTAAGGCCACACTTGGAATCCTGCATTCAGTTTTGGTCGCCACGATGTAAAAAAGATGTTGAGACTAGAAAGAGTGCAGAGAAGAGCAACGAACATGATGAGGGGACTGGAGACTAAAACGTATCAAGAACGGTTGCTGGAATTGGGTAGGTCTACCGTAGTTTAATGAAAGGAAAAACTAGGGGAGACATGATAGCAGTCTCCCAATATCTCAGGGGCTGCCACATAGAAGGGGGAGTCAAAGCTATTCTCCAAAGTGCCTGAAGGCAGGACAAGAATCAATGGGTGGAAACCAGGTGTGGGATGCAAATATTTTTACTACCGGTTCTGTGGGTGTGGCTAGGTGGGTGTGGCCATGTGACTGGGTGGGCATGGCTTTTTTTTCAGCACCCCCTCCCCTGCTCCATTTTTTTGGGGGGGGGGTCTCCTGGGCCTCGGGGAAGCCTTTTGGGCGAAGCAGTAGGACAGCGAGGGGGATCCCAGCACAGCTGATCATCGAAACAGCTGATCTTTGGGAGGAAAAAAAGAAAGAAAGAAATATCGGTTAAGCCGAACTGGTAGCTGTTTTTTTACTACCGGTTCAGCCGAATAGTAACATTTTTTTTACCACCGGTTTGATTGAACCGGGCCGAACCTGTAGAATACCACCGCTGGTGGAAACTAATCAAGGAAAGAACCAACCTCGAACTATGCAGGAATCTGACAGTGAGAACAATTAACCAGTGGAATGACTTGTAAATGCTCCAACACTGGAAGTTTTTAAGAAGAGATTGTATAACTATTTGTCTGAAATGGTATAGGGATTCCTGGCTAAGCAGGGGGTTGGACTAGAAGACCTCCAAGATCCCTATTGTGTTCTGTTCTATTCTATTTCTATTCTAATTCTATTTTCAATGTTTTCTTGTGTTTTGAAGCTTTTGTATCTGGGAAAGGAATACCCCAAAGGGGCTGACTATTTTCGAACCCGACTCAAGAAAGCCTTCCTGAAAAACAAGGAAGTGAAGGATCCAGAAGAAATTAAAAAACTGATTGCCAGAGGCCAATTTGTCATCAAAGAACTTGAAGCCTTGTACTTCCTCCGAAAATACAGAGCTCTGAAACAACGATACTACGAGGACAGTTGAACTCCAAGCAATTGTGCAGTCTGAAAGGTGTGTGTATCCCAGGGGTTAAATGGTGGACGATCGGCCTGCAATGGTAATAATAAAATCTGTTGAATGATTGTGTTTGTTCCTTCGTTCTGCAGAAATCAGGGGTTGAGAGCAAAGACAGAGAGGAATCTGCTACCATCAGGATGGGTGATGGCTATTAATTGAGATAGATTTGAAAGTATTAAAAATTAGATAGATTTAAAGTTAGATTCTTCCATGCCAGCTGTTGGGTGTAATTGGATGAGGGCCATCATTGTCTGATGTGAACTTGTAAGCTTTCTGCTTGGTCTATAAAATGCTACAGTCATAGCTCAATCCAGCCTTGGGGTTTTGGTTTTAATATTGTTTTTAATTAGAATTCTTCAGGAACTAGTCAGTGATATTCTCCAATTTGTGTCATCCAACCACGGAGTTGGTAGAAGGGTCTATAAAGATTTATTAAAGTCTGAATCTGACCCATCACCAAAATAACTCAGGACTCTCTCAGCTGCTAACAATTAACACACACATACCCAAATTAAGCCAATGTCATCTACCCACTTCACTTCTTTTGTGAAGCTGTAAGTTAATTAAACCTGCTGGGTTAACATAATATTACCTTATTATGTAACAGTAACCCTGTTTTCTTTTCACTTTCTCTTTTTATTTTCTACACCTTTTCTTTGGTTAACAAAATGCTTCCTCTTCATCAAGAGTTATTCAAACACTTGGCAACTTTTTAAGATGTGTGGACTTCAACTCCCAGAATTTGGGGAGGTGGGAAGGGAATCAGAAATCAATTTTCCCAAAATCAGTGCGGGAGGGGAGATTTTAATGTAGCGTTTCTCAACTTCTGTTAACTGTTTTTAACTTCTGTTTTTAAGATGTGTGGACTTCAACTCCCAGGGTTTCCCAGACAGTTAGAATCTTAAAAAGTTGCCAAACTTGAAAAACCCTGGGCTACATAAAGGAACATTTGTTGTTGTTGCGGTCCCTTTTTCAATTCCATCCTCACCTTTTGCAGTTTTTTTGTCATGCGCTAGGAAGTCCAGGGTCTTCTGTGCAGACTCCACCCTGAGTCACATGACCAGGAAATAGAATTTGGATACAGGTGTCAATAACTTCATGAGCCAAGCTGCCCATAGAGATCATCACCATCTTTTAACAGTGGAATCTGGGCTGCAGCTGAGTGTTTAATGGCCGGATGCCCTTTCTGTCACCAGATAGCAGATATATTCTCATTGTGCTCAGAGAGAAAAATATCTGCCTTTGCCTAGGATTGAACTCACAGCCTCCTGATTGTGAAGTGAGAGCTCCATCTCTAGGCCACCATACCGCTCCAGCTGCCCATAGGGGGAAATTTTATCTTCTGACCCTATCCAGCCTAATTTAGATCTTGAACTTTCTTTTGATGGCTCATCCGTCGTGCCAAAATTTATGGTCTGTATCTAATCAGAAACCATATTTTTTTTCAGTTTCATGCAAAAAGTATCCAAGAGGGTTGCAAGTCATCAATAAACCTTTATTGTTTTCTCTCTGATCAAAATTTAGACATCTCAGCAACTTCTGAGATGCTTTGCTTCTGAGGACAGAGAAATGGAGAACAATGCACAAACTCGTTTCCTTTTTATTAAGTACGACAGCAGTATTATTGTTGATGTGTAGTTTTCACAGCACGTGCAGCTAGTAAAACTTTTGCAAAGGTGGGTGGGGATTGTTCTTCAAACACCAGTGCAAATGTAAAACACAAATGAATCTGCCAAAGTTTGTTACTTGGCTTGCATTTCATCGTGCTGGTTTTGGAGATGCAACTGTTCCACTCCCGGTTCGGTGATCGCATGCGTGTGCACACCTAATGCACACGCACCTAACATGTGTCCCCACACCAGCTGAGGCCTGCAGCACCAATCAGCTGAGAGTATAAAGAGAAAAGCGCCTGGCTGGGTGAGAGGGCCGATCCTTCGCTTTTCTCCTCTTCAGTTGAAGAGATAAAGAGAAAAGTGCCTGGCCGGGTGAGAGGTCCAATCCTTCAGCTTTTCTCTTCTTTCTCCTCTTCAGTGGATGGTTGGAGGCTTTTTTCCCCTCCTCAGCTGATCCTCGGAGGCTTTTTTTTTACTACCGGTTCGTCAAACCGATAGCAAATTTTGCTACCGGTTTGATTTAACCAGGCCAAACCGGTAGCATACCACCACTGTGGAGATGCTATTTTGCAAACTCGCCCAGGGTTTTCCTTCATATTTTCACACACTAAGAAAGAATGCCTGGTGGTGATCTTAACGCCATTTCAAAACTGCGTGCAACAATGGAGTTAAAACTAAGCACCAGGTTAAAGTACAAACTGCATTCAGATCCTGAGTTTCTTGCTAATGCAAACCTGACGCATAGATTTGATGCTCCATTGAGAATAAGGGGTGAAATAGAAAGGGTTCAGAATCTGTTTAATTCAGGGATACTTTAAGTGAGGGGGTGTTAAATTTCCTGCATTAAACATAAGAGTCCTTTTTGGGGGGTTGGGGTGTAAAAAAATAAAGCATAAGGCATTCATATCAGCTACCTGGAAAACAAAGAAATTTGTATTTTTGTTACAGTGACTTTACATGCATTTAACCGATTAAAGGTTGCCTGCACTTCCAATATTTTAAGAAACAGCAGCTTAAATGCATCGAGACACCGTAATTCCCAGAATTCATCTCTCTGGTTGCATCAAGATCAGCAAGATGTTGCATGAACTGGAACAATGTGTCACCAGACTAATAAGAATTCAGCACCTGAACACAATCAGATCTGTGGAAATCCTATTTTTACCTGTTTGTGCATCTTTGCAGGGCTGACTAATCAAAACATCATATTGAACAAGCTCGGCCTGTTGTTTTCCCAGGGCTTGGGGAAACATAAATCACATTTCTCTTTCTCCTGGTGCCCTATGCCCTTCCATGGGGCAGTCTTGGTGGAAGAAGAGGCACTTTTCCAATTTCCTGTATTTTAGAACATTGGAAAGAGTTGTGGATGGAATAGCATCCGAGTCATATGGATGGGAGTTTTCACAGTATATATGATCCTAGGGGTCAGGTACAGTTAGGCCTTGAGTTGTGACTGGTTGTGGGGTCCTTGGTGCTCCCTGAACTTGGTTTTCTTGCAGACGTTTCATTACCGACCTAGGTAACATCGTCAGTGTTACAAAGGAGTGGGGATATAAGTGGGGATATCTGTTTAGATATAAGTGGCTTGCCTTGGTAGTGTTGGTGGGAGAAAGAGGAACGTTGTTCCCAAGAAGAAAACAACACCCACCAACACTGACAGGAAAAATCACTTGTATATAAACAGAGCAAATCCCACTTCCTTCTAGCACTGATGATGTTACCTAGTTGGGTAATGAAACGTTGCCAAGAAAGCCACTGATCTCAGCACCAAGGACCCCTCATTTCAACCCTGAGCTACAAACACTGTATGATTTAGCAAGCATTCAAAGTTCTGACAACCGGCTCCTACCCTGCAGTCACATGATCACATTTTGGGCATTTAGGAACCAGCCTGCATCTCTGGCCACTTGCTGTGTCCAGCAGTGACCCTGATTTTATATATATATATATATATATATATATATTTGGGCCTTTTATATATAAATAGTATATACTGTGTGTGTGTGTATGTATATCTATCTATATACACACACACACACAATATATATATCCACTGTGAGGAAAAATATATCGAGTGGGACCTCGTCGAAATGTTGCCAAGATGCTCTCAATCTTACACGGGAAAAGACCCGAACACACCAAGACTTGCATACCTGTACCCGTGAAAATGTACGAATATATATATATATGTGTGTGTGTGTTTGTGTGTGTTTTCTTAAGTTTTCGCGGGTACTTACATGTATGGTATTCAGCTTTGTTCGGGTATTTTCCCACGTCATTATAGTTGTGCTTTTAAAGTTGTACCCGAACAAAGCTGAATACCATATATATATACAGATGAACTCAATACAGAAGCCTGATGTTGGCAGATGAGATTCTGCCGAAACGTTGCTACAACTTTAAAAGCACAACTATAATGACGTGGGAAAATACCCGAACAAAGCTGAATACCATACATGTAAGTACCTGCGAAAACTTGAAAACACACACACACACACACACACACACACAGAGTTTATATATAAAAGGCCCGGATTTATATATAAAAGGCCCGAATTATGTAATTTGTATTGGGCACAGATGTATAATGATACATAGTGCATTATATCATTGTGACTTCTACCCAATGCCTATGGAGGCAGTTCAGTTTGGGATTTGAGGTGCGTTAATTCTTGCTTTTGATTTACACACCTCTTTTATACTTATCTTTGGTAAGAAACTGTTTCTGTTTGTAGAAAGACTATTGAATCCTTGGTGCTCTCTGAGCTTGGTTGTTTACTTGCAGACATTTTGTTACCAGACTAGGCAACATCATCAGTGTTAGAAGGGAGGGGGTTCACTCTCTGTTTACACACTGTATAAGTTAGAGGTTTATATTAAGTAGATTATTCTGTCAATGTTGGAGGAAGTAAGCCTAATCAGGGAACTATTAAGGTGAAAACACTCCCTACCAACAAGGCAAGCTACTGCATATAAAATGAGAGTAAAGTCCACTCCCTTCTAGTACTGATGATATAACCTAGATGGGGCCATTAAATGTCTGCAAGTAAACAACCAGGCTCAGAGAGAAGCCAGGACTCCACAGTTCGACTCTGAGCTACAAATATTCTCTTCTTTTGGAAAAATCTTGTCACATTTCAGGAACATAATTTCAGGAGATGTAGGGGAAAGGGGCGCCAAATGGGACTGAGGTAATCTAAACTTTAGTGGAACATTATAGTCCAGTGGTGGCTAGCCTTTCTGGGCTCCCGTGCTGAAAATTGCACTTGCACGCCAGCACCCAGAAGGCAATGCACATGCCCCCATGCCCCCTGCGCATGTGCGTGATCCCTCCATGCCACCCCCTTACCTGCACTTCGCATGCGTGCGCCTCCCAGCTAATTTTCGAGCCATTTTCGGCCACCCAGAGGCTCAAGGGAAGCCTCTGCAGCCTTCGGAGGCCAAAAAATGGGCCCGTTTCGTCACTTCCAATATTTCCGGAAATACAGGAAGTGACAAAACGGGCCTGTTTTTCGGCCTCCAAAGGCTTCCCTCAAGCCTCTGGGAGGCCGAAAAAGGCCCGAAAATCAGCTGGGAGGCGTATGCATGTACAGTGAGGTAAGTTTGCCCGGGGCTCGCATGCCCACACAAATGGGTCTACATGCCACTTTCGCCATCATGGTTATAGTCTATCTGGAATGGTAAATATGCTGTGCTGGATGAGATAAAATCCCTCAGCTCCTCCTTTTCTGCCCTGGAGCAAGGAACATCATGCATAAAACCGAGCCCCAGAGAAAGAAAACAATATTTATTTGCTACCACAGTCGATGTTCCAGCCTCCATTTAGCTCTAAGGCTGGCCCTCGAAAGTGCAGAAAAGTCTCAAACTTCTGAGGGGAAAGCGAAACAAAACGAAAACAAGCTAGAAGACAATTGGAAGTTTCTGCGTGTGCCCAGAGACTCCGAAGAACTTTTAGGAGGATGTGTCGGTTTGTGTTTCACAAGCGTTGGAGAAGTTGAAGAACCAGCTTTCCGGGATGTTCAGTACTTATTTTTCCACTGTGAGGAAAATAAGCCGTGGAAAACTATATACTTGGCAGGTTCAGGAAAACAACACGATGGAAGAAAAAGTGATGTTAAAAATGTTTTTTTCCTAATAATTTAGTATGAACGGTAGAAAAAAAAAACACGTGTTGGGTTTCCCGAAGAACCCTTGAAGGAAAAAAGGATTTGACAGTATTTTGAATTTGTTTTACATGATTATACATTTCGTCTTGGACTTCTTTTTCTTCTTTTTGCCATTTTTGCTCATCTTCTCTTTGTGCTTCCGGATCTCTCGAACTAATGTGTAAAAAGCATCATCGACACCCTGCAGAGAGAAGAGGAAAAAAATTTTTGGGTAGATTTGGTCGAGCTTTGGGTAGATTAGCATGTTGTGTGAATTCAGCCCATAAGCTAATTTATGATTCAATGTCTTGTAAAAAAAAACACCAGTAAGCCAGTTAAGGGTGCCGTGTAAACCCAACAATTATGTACAACAGCAACAAGAAGCAAGGATGAAATGTAGTTGATTAGCATGCATTTCTTAGCTATTTTACTTTCCAAAAGGGAGGAAAAACAGTACTATATATTTCTGTAAGAGAGAGAGAGAAAACCTAGGAGCAAAGGACACCATCATTCAATGAATAAGCCACTGCTAAATAGTTCCAAATTTTATTCAATCAGATAATATCCAGCAGTGAGAATTTTATATTCACAAACATGGGAAAAGGCACATTGAATCCCACAACGGAAGAAGTAATGGAATTAGCAATAATAGAAAAATCGTCTATTTTAATTAAAGAAAGGAATTTATCTAGCTTTGGTTCTATTTGGAAACCACTTCTGGACTTTCTGCTCGAAACTAGAAAAATAAAGTGAAACTTTTGACTTTAGATTTGGATGACATTTTATGGTGCTTTTGTAATAGAAACGGCTTATATATAAAAAGAGAGGTCACAGAGTTAAACTTTTTCATCACTGTTGTAAATGCAAACAATCGCTGTATGAGGCAGTCACTAAATGAGGACTACCTGCACACGCTTGTTGGTAAAACAGATGGTATATATTGGAGGCAGTCTTTCAGAAATCAGGACTCAGCTGCTCAAAGCAACCAACCAGAACCCAGCACAAGCAACAAACCCATCAGGAATCACCACTGCAAAAATCCTTTATTAGAGAGAGAAAAGACAATTATCTACATTGATTGGTGATTGGAAACTCTGCATGGACTTTTGGCATTAAAAAAAACACCGTCTGATTTATGGTTTTGATTATTATAGATTATACAGTAGAGAGAAGAGTAGTCCAGATGTAACACTGGATGGAAGACTGCTATCAAGTCATCCCTAGTCCTTCCTCTTGTTAGACTACATCAGGGGTTGGCAACCTTAAACACTCAAAGAGCCACAAAGGTCCTAACCAGAAGCTCCCCAGTTCAATTCTGGAGCCGACCAGAAGTCTGGTTCCCCCATCATAGAGTCTTCTAGTGCGCTGTGCTCAAACCCCGCACCCCCGGCCAACCAGAAGCTCCTCTCAAAATTGTGGCATCGACTGGCGACAGGAAGCCGCAGCTGATGGATGAAAGAGCCACATGCGGCTCCAGAGCTGCGGGTTGCCGACTCCTGGACTAGATTTATCCAATTCCTGCAACTCTTCTTCATGTGTTTTAGCCTCTAACCTCCTAATCACCTTTGTCACTCTTCTCTGTTTCTGAGTCTCCATTATCTTTTTGCCTGTTTTTTTTTTTTTGGACATTTTGGGAGGGGCAGTTGATCCACCATCGTACACAATTTAGTTCCTTCAAATGTGTTGGGACTACAATCTCTAACATCCCTAGAGCTTCTTTTGCAATAGGCCATGAGAGACCAGCCTCTCAGGGCACAATCAGAGGGAATCAAAAGTTCCACACCGCAAAAGTTCAATCAAGCTGCTAGTTTACAATCGTTTTGAAATTAAAAGAGGAATCATCAGAGAAAAGTTGGGAGTTAAGATTTGATTCATATGGGTTGATCACATTTTTTTCTCCTCTCGAATGCTTAAGGTATTCTCCCCCCCCCCCCCCCAAACAAAAATGAAACTTACCCTGTTTACATTAAAAGGCATTTTTTAATTTTCATGCACCTGGGAGTCTTTTCTTCGATGTTGACTTTTGTCAATCGGTGCTGCTGAATCTCTCGCAC